TGAAATTTTGTCCTTGAAGCATACTAACAGAGGCAATGCTGCCACCCTATTATAGGTGAATTCTTTCCTGCTAGGTTGGCTAAGAGGTGTGGGCAATTTTGAAGATGGGAGCAAGTTTCATTAAATAAACAAATAAACCAACAAGCTTGCTTAGCTTCACATCAAAATTAGAACAAATAATCTTAACTTATCTTTTGCTGTCATATTTGGTGTCCTTCAATAGATAGTGATTTTTTCCTACTGTTAGGTAACACATTGAAACATTTTCACAATTCAGAATATTTAAAATGTGCTTGCAAAACTGTGCTTACAGTCAGTTTCTTATGGGAATAACAATGACCATAACCAAATATGATACACAATAAGCATTTCACCTCCAAAAGGAACATTTCTGAAGAGGTGGGTATCATTAAAATACATTTTGGCGTAGCACCACAAGCCTAGATAAGCTGCTGATGGTCAGGAAAGTCAGTATAAAGTTGAAACTGAAAATCTTTTCTGCTAAATCATCTTTACCAGGGTACTTTTTATCAGGAGTTCAGTGAAAAGGGGAGACTATAAAATATGTGCCTAACAATGCATGTCAGCAGCTTGAATGGAGCAAATGAGTCCAGATATGAGAATTCTAATAAATAAATGAAGTCGAGCATTTATTGCCAACAATGTCACTGGGGCCACAAAAAATTGGAGCTGTGCAGCTGGGAGCGGGCATGTGGAGCCAGAGAAGGCACTGGAGTGCGCCCAGGTTTGATTATTTATGGTGTGCTGATGAAGAGACAACTTTCCATATGAGGAACAGCTTACCAGAGAGCAGTCAAGCTAAACCAGGAAGAGGGCCAGAGAAAAAGAAACAAAAGGGGACATGAATAAAAACGACAGCTAATAAAACAATACAAATCTAAAACGCTGTAACTTTCAGAAATAATGTAGGGCCAGAAGAAAAGAAAAAGGAAATCTCATTTTGCTGGCTTTGTGACAATTTTCCAAGAAGCACAAGACATTAAACAAAATGAATGTACTGAATTTAAGACCAATTTGCCTCTATGCCTTTCTAACTATAAGTCTGATTGCTCTTAAAGCTAGATTTATTCATAAAAAGGGAAGTGGCAATTTTGTTTGTATTTAGCTAATGTATCCATTTTTAAACAAATATTTATTGAAACAAATACTATTTCATATCATGTGCCGGACCCTGTGGGGCTAGTGCTGAACAAAGACATAGTCCGTGTCCTCAAGAGGGATATGATCTACTGTGGGAAGCAGTAAAGATCACAGTCATGTTCCGGACATTGGGGTGGACACTGTCATGAGCTAGGTCAGGGCCACAGGACCGCAGAGCGGGGGCCGCAGGGAGGAACACCAGACCCAAGTGGAGCCTGGAATAGAAATAATTTAGTGAACTTTGCTTTCTTTATTGATTAGACACTTACCAAACCTCCATACAATACAAATCTATTTGACTATTTAAGAATTAAAATACACTTTTTATACAAAGATGCAAGTTAGTGGTTCTAGTAGTTTTCACCCTTGAATTCTGGACTTGAGGGACACCTGAGCTGTTTTAAATGACCTCTTCTTTCAAGTCTGACCAAAAGCACAATAAATATTAGCCACTAGTTACTACATGGCCCACCTGTGGCAGTCATTTCATTTGTGTTGAATTACGCTTTGCAACAATGCCTTGAAGTAGGCTCATCACACTCACTTCACAGACAAGGAATGGAGCATTAGGAAGGTGACTCTCAAGGTCACACGGCACTTCTACACCTCACTTCCTTTGGGTTCAGGATGCAGGTTAGGACTGCACCAACAACACGTCTATGCCCAAGGAAGGCATATCAATGAATACTCACTGGCTTCCCAAAGTTACTTTAGCTGAATTACTCCCTCTTGTCTTCTTACCCTCTACCAGCACTCTCAGTTAAGCAGTACTACTGATAACTCCTTATCTTAGTTGGCACTGGGGCTGTTCCCATTATAACACAGGAGAGTGCTTCTAGAATCTGAGAACTATAACAAACATTTTATTCTGAATGAATCCATACACACAGGCATTGAGGCCCCTCTGCGTTGCAAGTTTCCTTCTCTCTTACAAAGAGCTTTCTTACTAAGAGCCACCCCTCTCCCCGCCCCCATAGATCAGTGCCCAATTGAGAAGGGGATCCAGCCAGAGCACTTAACCATGAACCAATCACATCTCCCGACTTCTGTTCTCTGTTGCATTCCTAACCCACTACTTCTTTCCAAAGGTGGTCTATGGCCTCACTGTCTGGCCTTGCTGTAAGAATATGTAGATAAAAAATGGCCAGGCAGGCATCTCTATGACCTTGGCAACTTCAGATTTTCCTTTAGCCCCCACACCTTCACCTCCATATATTCTCCAGACCCACTCCTCAGCCCTTGGCCAACTGGTATTTCGGAAATATTGCTTAGTATCTGAGGACTGAGTAGTCTATGAATTATTTTACAGTTTCAATTCAAACAGTATTCTAGGTAGATCTCACTTTTTAGTGTCTTTAAGACCAATCTTCCCCAAACAAACTAGGTAATGTACTAAATGGTAAAGCTGTTTCATGAATAACACAGGTCTGAAAAGTGGAGGTCTAATATTATCTCTTTGAAACTGTGTAGAGTGTAATCGGTCGATAAACCACAGTATTATTTTTTCAGAGATCTCCATTCCTACCCTCTTATCCTCAAATTTATAAAACTATCTGCAAAACATGAATGATTGAATTTCCCTTTTCATAGTATTTGGGCCAAAGTGTATCTATGGACACTTCTTTTAAAATTAGGCATTAAGAAAATGACTTAAGACCCACTAGCTTATCAATTAGAACTTAGTTCTTCCTCTGTTTCAATATCTTCCTTTAGTAGGGAAAAATGTGATGCTGATGCCTGGGCCAAGCTTCAGGCAGAAAGGGCTGGCCACATGCACAGTGCTTTCATCTAAAGGCTGGAATATTAGTAGGCTGAGGACTTAACTTCCCCATTTCAAGAAAATAATTTTGCAGCCAGGATGGCCAGAAACTTCAAATGGCAACTTTTCTGATTTGAGGTAATTTCCCAGGAATTTAAGAGGCAATCATTTACTCTTGACTTTTAAAGAGAACTAGGGCTTGAATGGCACAGTTTGTCTAAAACTGATCATTTAGTGACAATCCTCTGAAGTTACTTAGGAGGGAGGGAAAGCAGCTGATATACCTAGACATCTGGACTGAACTATCTAGTTCGCTTTCCAGGTTGTAAATTTTCTGGCCTAAAAAATGACTTTTTATGAAAACAGTGATTTAGCCAAAGTACTGAAATTTTTTGATTACTTTGATATAAAACACTACAGCTATAAAACTTGCCAACATCTCATCTTCAAGGCAACGTGCCTTTAGGAAAATAGAATTTTAAAAAAGATAAGTCCTGAAAATATGAATTTTAAATTGTAAAATGAGAATCTTATTAAATGCATTGCTCTATAATATTTTAAAATAAACAAGAAAATTTGATAAATAGCAATATGGTTGAGATGGAAATAATTTTGTCATCTGGAAATTTTCACATTTGTGGGCCTATTTAAATAGAAAACATTTGAACAAAAGGACACATAACACACACTCAAACACACGTTTTTACTGAAAAGTATATTTGAAGAACAGCCTAAAACCCTTTTAATTTCAGTCTCCAAATTTTGATCTTTTTATTCATTCTGAAATAAAGTCTAAGACATTAACATTTAGTGCACAGAATTTAAAAATAAAACTGCCTATGGTTAGAATATATGCATCAAGGGTATATATTTCGTAAGAAAATAAAATTATGTACAAAATCACTCCCACTTATTAATGCTAATCCTAACTTGTTTGATTTTTATAATTAAGCACCACCATAAAGCAAGGACTTTGAGAGAAAGGTGATACAAAACTCTGTTTAACCTCTCTGGCCCCAGTCTTTCATGTTTCAGTTTTGCTGGGAAGTTCGGACACTTCCCGGTTAGAGAGTGCATGTAGAATCCTCCAGAGCATTGGAGGGTCCTCACAATTGTGCCCTTGTTCCCAGTGCAGGAGGAGTTCTTCTTTCCTTCTAAGCGTCTGTGCACAAAGGATGCAGTTAAAGCCGGAAGGGGACTGAAGGAGAACTGAGTGTGGGCTGGGACTCGCAGGGCCCTGGGGGACTTCTGGCTTGCTGGGTCTCAGCTGGGCTCCTTCATATTTTGTGAGCATTTCCTTTTCATTCTGCTGATGCAGGTAGGGTTGCTGTGTCATTGTAGGAACTGCATGCACCTCCTCATCAGAGGGACGGTGCTGCGGCAGCTTTCTTCTTTCGGGATGCTGTTTCCAGGAAGGAGCAGCATGTTGAGCCAGTTCTTCGCCAGCTGCTTGGCTTCCTGGGGAGATCTCCTCTTGCAGCCTGCCCTGAATTTCCTCTCCATGAACATAAAGTAAATGAAACTTTATTTCAGCGAAGGACTGGGCAGTGATCTGACAGCGGCCACATTTGATTTGTAATTTGACTTCGTCTGCCTGGTTTAGGAGAAGGTCTTCGTAGAGGCTTGATTTGTTTTCTCTGAAAAAGAGGAAAATAGTCAATATAAAATTGCATAGAAAAAGAGAATTTGAACTTTTCCTCTTTTAAGTTCTTAGTCATCAAAGTTCTAAAACACTCCCACTGATGAGAAGCTCAAAGGGTGGGAAGACAGAGAGAGCATGGGAAGGCCTTCAGCAGAGGCTGCAGAACCCCAACTGCTGCTCCTGCTTGGGCCACACACTCCTTCCCAAGGGGAGCTAACTAGTCCTTGGTGACCACAGGAACGGGTGTCACCAATGTGAGAGTCAGGCGGTAGTGAGTGAGGCTCTCCAGGAGCATGCTGCGTCTGGTTGACAGTAACTGTCCCACACCACCCACCGCTGCCGTCTCTCACCTTCAACACCCAATACGGTTTGGGCATTTTACCTAAAAATCAAAATGGACTACAGGAAAACAATACAGGGGGCAGAAAATCTAGTGTGGGAAAATGTTTACTTTCCAAGGGGCCAATGAGGATTCAGTTCTCTGTCATAGTGGCAGTGGACAAAATAAGAGCATTTCTCTGGTTTACTTATTGCTCTTAGAAAGCCCTGACTGCCAGGCTTATGAATGACTTAGCTTGTTTGTTTATAATGCTAAGGAGCAGTACCTGAAGATGGGAATGACACAGGAGAAAGTTAATCTGGCCTGAAGGGAAAAATAGGACAAAAGTAGAGGGTTAAAGGTCTGGACACTTTAGGGTCTGGTCACACTGAGGTGCCACCACAGGTTATGTGATATTAAGAGGCAACTGAGAACACCATTTTGGAGAAATTATTTGTAAAGAATACCAGGAACTATACACAATCCTATCTAATAAAAGAGAAACATGGTAATTGGCGTACGACTGCTACCCTTCCCAATGGCTAATCAGGGCGATCTGCAAATTAATTGTCAGTCAAGATGGCGGCCGGCAG